CGCTGCTGCCGCTGTGGGGCACGGATGCCACCTTCCCTGACGTCTGACGGGTGGGTCCCGACTCCCGCGGCTCCCCTTCCTGGAATGTCTCGGGAAGAGTCAGACTCCTTCTCACGTCCTGGTCTCATGCTCAGCGTCCGCCTCAGGGGGTCGACATTGGCACAAAAAGCAGAATCCTGGCAGCCAGTCATTTCTGTGGAAAACTGCATGAAATGTTGACATGAAACTTTGAATTCTATCTGCTGTGCTAAATGAAACGCCCTGTCGTCATACATGCACGGAGGCTGTTCAACTCAGGGAACGTTCTGTCCGCTCACAACTTGCATAGTTTGGGGTTTGTTTTCGTGGTGAATCGGGGAAGGCTCCTCCCTCGGAGAGCGGCTGCTGCCCTCGCGGTGGGACCCCCTTTGCCCTAATTTGGAGGCGCCAAAGGGTCACGTCCCAAGGGGCCTGGGTCACGCCATCCGCTCTGGCCGAGATGAAGGGGAGGCCCTCTCGGCCGCCTCCTGCCCCTCCCCCAGCTGCCCACACCTGCACACGCAGCCTCTGCTCTTCAGCAGACGACTTAGCATTGGTTTTGTTCTTTTTTATTAAAAAAACATTTTTATTGATTTCAGAGAGAAAGGGAGAGGGAGGGAGATAGGAACATCCATGATGAGAGAGAATCACTGATCGGCTGCCTCCTGCACGCCCCACACTGGGGATTGAGCCCGAAACCCGGGCCTGTGCCCTCACCAGGAATCGAACCTTGACCTCCTGGTTCATTGGTCGACGCTCAACCACTGAGCCACGCCGGCCGGCCATCGTTGGTTTTGTTAATTGGTGCTGAGTTTTCAGCAGCCTGGTCAGAAGCACCCTGCCCTTCTCCCCTGTCGGCCACCTGCGGTCCTTTCGAGGCTATGCCTGTCCCTGCTGAATCTCAGAGTTTGGGGGGCCCTGTGTTAGCGTCGCTGTAACAGAACACCACGCCCTGCGGGGGGGGGGGGGGGGTTCTCACACTCCTGGGGCTGGAGGTCCAAGGTCCAGGTCAGCAGGCTGGTTTCTCCCGAGGCCTCCCCCCGGGTCCTGCAGGCGCCGCCTCCCTGCAGGTCTCTGCGTGGCCGGCCTTGCCCATCTGGGTCCAGATCGCCCTCCTCATAGGCAGCTGGTGTGTTGCATGGGGACTCCCCACGTGCCCTCACTTCACCGCAATTCCCTCTTAGAGCCCCTGCCTCCTGGTTCAGACGCACCCCGAGTCCAGGGACCCGGGGGATGGCATTCGGCCGAGACGGGCCCTGAAGTTGGGGTCACGCGAGCTCCCCGCTGACCCTCACAGTAGCCCCAGCAGCCGTGTCGGGGACATACTCGGTGCTTCCTTTTCCACGGGGGCCTGGGCGAGGGCGGTTTAGCCCCTGCTGGTCCTGGGTCTTGGCGGGAATGAAGGGTGAGGAAGCCGGGGCGGCTTTGGGGCGCAGCTCACCAGCCCCGAGAGGAGGAGCCTTCTGCTCAGGTGACCCAGCTCTGAGTGACGCGGCCGTGGGGACCCGGGCTGCGGGCAGAGCCACGGAGCCCTTCGCTGCCCCCTCCCCGTTCCTCCTCGGCCTCCTGCCACCCAGCAGGGCTGCCCCGCGTTGCTTGGCAACCCTTCACCTCCCAGTTAAAACGCAGAGCACCTGGGACGGTGTGGTGGCGATTTCCCCGAAGATTCTTCCACTTTAGACAGAGAATTAATTAAAAAGGAGATTTCACTTAGAATTAGCCCGAGCGTCTCCCACCACAGGGAGCGCACAGGGGATGCTCGGGGAGACGCCGGCACCAGGGCGTGTGCGGGCTCAGGACGCAGCCTCGCGCTGGTCATTTTATTTTTTTATTTTACTGTTTAAAGCGCCTCACGCTAGTCTTGACATTGGAACCAGGAAGTAGTGGAGTGAAAGCCTGTTTTCACCATCTCCCTTCACGGTGGATTGTAAACCAGGTGGAAAAGCTGTAAACACGGGGGGTGGGAGACCAGGGGGTGTCAGTGTGTGCACCCCAGGCTGGTGGCCCCTCATTCGTGAGCCTCAGCTTCCTGCTCTGGGCTCAGCCTGTGGCAAGGACTGTCCCCTCGTTTCTGCTGTGTCTGCTGCTCACCGTGGGGTCGTCCCGAAGGGGACAGGGACGGGGAGTGGAGGGGACGGTGAGTGGAGGGGACGGGGAGCTGGAGGGGACGGGGAGTGGAGGGACTGGGAGCAGACGTTTGGCCACACCCCTGTCCCTGCCCACAGCGCCCCCTCGCTCCCTCCACCACCCCCCGCCCGCACAGCAGGTAGAAGACCTGAGGCTCCACCCTCTCCCTTCTCCCCTGACCCTGCAGCCTGAAGCCAGTGCAGCGCATGTGCTCCCCAGGATGTGGCCCAGGAACCCCGCAACCGTGTGTCCTGGTTGCGCATCTCGGGAGACTCTGGGGCAGGGTCTCCGGTGGGACCGTGCTGCCTGTCCTCGCGCGTGGCCCACGTTGCTCACGGTGCCGTGTTCACCGTCACCAGGGCCCAGGCCCCTAAGGCCCCATGTACCCGAGGATGCGAGTGTGAAATGGCCTAAAGCAGAAGGAGGAGGGGAAGACCTTGAGGCTGCGAGGGCCCCGTGTGGGTCGGGGAAGCTGCGGTTTAGACCTCGGCCTTCCGCGGGGCCCACCCGCGTCTTCACAGGCTCGGCCTCCCCGACCCCCTGGGTCTCACACGCAGTGTCCCCCCGCCGTGGCGGCGATAGCCTCACGGCACCAGGACCCACGCCCTGCCCTGTCCCCTCTGTCCGCAGGGTGCACGCTCCTCTTCTACGAGAGCGACGGCCGGTCGGGCATCGAGCCGGGCAGCGTCCCCAAGCACGCCGTGTGGGTGGAGAACGGCATCGTGCAGGCCGTGCCCGAGCACCCCAAGAAGGACTTCGTCTTCTGCCTCAGCAACTCCCTGGGCGACGCCTTCCTCTTCCAGGTTCGTGGGTGCTTCCTGTCGGGTCTGGGGCGGGTCTTCCCCCTCCCCCCCGTGGGTGTCACCTCTGGGTCCCCATGGAAACGAAGGTGGTGGCAGACAAGGTGAACAGAGCGCCGCTCCCCGAGCCCCGGGGGAGCGAGGGGGGAGCTGAGCCGGGGACGCGGCTGCCTGCGTGGGGGACGGTCTCACTGCGATCACCGCGTGGTTCGCGCTGCGCTTTAGAAAAGGGATCGGATCCCGCCCTGCAGACAGGATGTGAGCTGTCAGGCTTTCTCTGTCATAACATGTCTTCTGAGATACTCATTCCGTGAAACAGCGACATTCCAGAGTGACATCGCTCCCCTTTTCCACCTTCTCAAGTCTTTGTACCGACGCTCTGGAGCGTGGCTGTGAATCGTATTTAAAGACGCGAACCCGCTAGTGACTGCGGGGCTGGCTTTGCTCTTATGGGGAACCCTTGGCGTGGGCTCCGCTCGGATGCCCTCGCCAGCACTTCCTGTGGGGCTTGTCAGGGACCTGCCTTCATTCATTTCCACCATCAGCACCCGCTCCGGCCGGTACTCTGTGCTTCCTGTGTGCTGTGCTCACTGCTAGTGAGAACACCGGGAAGATGCTGACATAGTTCCTGTACTTAAAGAGTTTGCATGTTACACGGGACCGACACAGGGAGGGGCCTCGGTGCCGTGGGAAAGGCTGGCAGTGACGAGTGGGGGGCGTAGGGGTGGATGTGACGAGTGGGGGGCGTAGGGGTGGATGTGACGAGTGGGGAGCAAAGGGGTGGATGAGAGACACGCCGTGAGAGTATCCCACGCAGGAGAGAGAAGCCGGAACAAAGGCCTAGGAGAGAGCGGTGGGTTATCGCACCACGTGTCTGGGTTTGGTCCCTAACGTGATTTCTATTTGGGAAATGAAAGTAATAAATATAAAATAGTGTTTTTGTTTGTGGACAGAAAAGAAATCTGTTATTCTTTCTTTAAATGTGTGATATAAAACACTCCTAAAGAAGAGCACACGAGACATAAACGCACGGCTCCCCGAAGTATCGCCAAGTGCGTCTGTAACCCCACTCGGGCCAGGAATAGAAGTGTCTAGCCGCGCGTGAGCCGCCCTCTGCCCACTGCGACGCGTGCAGCCGACAGCGGGATAGGGTGGATGCGCTTTCTCAGCCGAGCCAGGACGCTTTGATTATCTGGGAATGTCTTCATTTCTCCTGCATCTCGAAGGCTAGTTCTACTGGATATGAAATCCGTGATTGACAGTGTTGTTTCGCAGCTTTGAGGAGCCCACCCCACCGCCATCTGGCCGCTGTGGCTTCTGCTGAGCCGTCGGCCGTTAATGTTGTGGGGACCCCTTTTCCAGACGAGTTCCTTCTCTCCTGTTGCGTTGGGGAGTCTTGTTTGTCTTTAAACAGTCGGATTATAATCTGCCTGCAACTGTAACTATTGATGCCTTTCAGTTTATTCCATCTGGAGGCATTGAGCTTCTTGGGTGTGTGGGTGTGTGTGTGTGAAATCACATGTGTGACGCTCTCAGCCATTATTTCTTCAGATAGTTTATCTGCCCGTTTATTTTTTTTCCTCCTGGGACTCCCCTTATGTTAATGTTGGTGAAGACTGTTCGTTGTCCTTCATTCTTTGTCTGTTCTGTTCCCTGGACTGGACCTGGTTCCCTGGCTCTTTATTTCTCAGCGGAAATCTGCTTTTCAGCTCCTCTGGTGAATTTTTCGCTTCATTTATCTACGTTTCAACTCCAGAATTTATATTTAAAAATAATTTTGGTTTAAATTTCTCTGTTGAGCCCTAGCCAGTTTGGCTCGGTGGATAGAGCGTCGGCCTGCGGACTGAAGGGTCCCGGGTTCGATTCTGGTCAGGGCACATGCTCAGGTTGCAGGCTCGATCCCCAGTGTTGGGGGGGGCGGTGTGTGCAGGAGGCGGCCGATCCATGATTCTCTCTCATCATTGATGTTTCTATCTCTTTCTCCCTCTCCCTTCCTCTCTGAAATCAATAAAAATATATAAAATAAATTTCTCTGTGATATTCTCTATTTGGTGAGATATTCTCAAACTTCTTCAGACATGATCTCCTTTCGTTCTTTGAAAATATTCGCAATAGTCGGATTAACGTCTTTGTCCAGCAGCCCATCGTCTAGACCAGTGATGGCGAACCTTTTGAGCTTGACGTGTCAGCATTTTGAAAAACCCTAACTTAACTCTGGTGCCGTGTCACATATAGAAATTTTTTGATATTTGCAACCATAGTAAAACAAAGATTTATATTTTTGATATTTGTTTTATATATTTAAATGCCATTTAACAAAGAAAAATCAACCAAAAAAATGAGTTCGCGTGTCACCTCTGACACGCGTGTCATAGGTTTGCCATCACTGGTCTAGACTCTCTCAGGGCCGGTTCTCCTGACGGCCGCTGGCCCTGGGTGTGTGCTTCCCTTTGTTGCTTCTTTCCAGGCCGGACGTCCCTCACACCAGTGACAGCAGCGCTGTCCTGCCAGCAGCTCCGTGACCGAGCCCTCGCTGTAGGCCGCCCTCTGGAGCGTGTTTACAGTGTGAATCGCGTGTGATCTCACAGCCACCGGCGAGTTGGATTGTGTGTCCAGATTCTAACCTGTCGATGTAGATGGGTGACGCCGAGGCTTCCAAAGGCTAAACGTTGGGCCCAGGTCACACAGTCGCCGAGCGGTGGGTCCTGGTTTAAGCCAAGCCCCCCTTTCTCCGAAGCCTCTGACAGCCTCTGTGTCCTGTGTATCCGCGGTAACACAGTCAGCAGCGGCTTTCTCTCGTCCTTAGGAGTCGGCCGCTCGCGGGGAATAGTTCTAAGTCGTATCTCACGTGGCCGCTCTGGGTCCCTGCTGGTGAGGGAGTGATGGATCGCTTTCAGGACGCTCTCCTTCCGATCGAATCCTCACCTGAGAACACATACAGGGCGTCCCCAAAGATGTGCACACACAGTTTGGATCCTCATAAAGGCAGTGTTTTCTAAAGTACATTTCATTTTCAAAGCCGAGCTGTCAGCTGTTCCAGTGTGTATACATCTTTTGGGGATGCTCTCTCGCTGTGTATGTATTTTAAATTGATTTTAGGGAGAGAAACATCAGCTGGTTGCCTCCCACACACGCCCGGACCGGGGATGGACCCACAGCCTGGGTTTGTGCCTGATCTGGAGCCGAACCCGTGACCTCAGGCGCCCAGGACGCCGCTCCGACCAGCGGAGCCACACCGGCCGGGCGGACGCTCGCCTGTTCACCCGCACGCACACCCCTGGTGTGAATTCCTTTGGAGACGACTCTCCTGGCCACAAATTGCTGGTAGAACCTACCCTTTGGGTCACATTGAATAGAATTCTTTCGTGGCAACATAGGCCTTATTCATGCAAACCTCTGTGTCTGCTTGTGGGTGAAGTGTTTATAACGCTGACGGGGGCGGGGGGGGGGAGCAGAGCCCAGAAGGACCCTTTTCAGAGAGAATTACTGCCCTTGGGGGTCCACGAGGGCGTTCCCTACCTTCTGGTTCTAACCTGCATTCCTGGGACGGGCCGCCCAGAAGGAGACCTGTGTGAGTGTGTGTGTGTGTGTGTGTGTGTGTGTGAGTGCATGTGTGTGTGTATGAGTGTGTGTGTGTATGTGTTGTGTGTGTGTAGGGGCCTGTGTATGTAAGTGTGTGTGTGAGTGTGTGTGTGTGAGAGTGTGGGTGTTTGTGAGTGTGTGTGTGAGTGTGTGCGTGTAGGGGCCTGTGTGTGTGAGTGTGATTGTGTGTGTGTAGGGGCCTGTGTATGTAAGTGTGTGTGTGAGTGTGTGTGTGTGTGTGAGAGTGAGAGTGTGTGTGTGTGTGTGTGTGTGTAGGGGCTTGTGTGTGTGGGTGTAGGGGCCTGTGAGTGTATGAGTGTGTGAGAGTGAGTGTGTGTGTGTGTGTGTATAGGGGCCTGTGTGTAGGGCTGAGGGAGAGCGCAGGAGACCAGCCCTGGTTGTGGGATGGTTTATAGGTTGTTCCAGCCCCAGGGCTCCGTCCAGCGCCTGTGCTGTGATTGGACGCTGTCGCTCAGGTTCGCTGTGGTCGGGACTCGTGTTACCGGCTGCGGCTGTGGGAGAAACGGGGTTGTGTGTGCTGGGGCGTGCGGGGTGGGACGGCCGAGTGTGGCCGCTGAGAGAGCACGAGGTTGTGCCCGCGCCAGGGGGGCCACGAGCTGCGTTTTAGGTGCCCTTCCTCTGCCGGAGGCCGGGTGGGGTGCCGCCGCCCACAGGGCACCGTCCTCTCAGCCCTCCCTCGCCCCTCCCTCTGCCCGTTACCGGGACCTTCTTTTTTGGCAACGTATCCTAATATTGTGTGTGTGTGTTTTTAAATATTTTTATTGATGTCAGAGAGGAAGGGAGAGGGAGAGAGAGAGAAACATCAGTGATGAGAGAATCATGGATCGACTGCCTCCTGCACGCTCCCCACTGGGGATGGAGCCCACAACCAGGCCTGTGCCCTGACCGGAATCACATTCTGGTTATGGGATAATTTACAGGTTGCTGCAGCCTCCTGGCTCATAGGTCAACGCTCAACCACGGAGCCACGCCAGCTGCGCCTAATCTTGGTTCTTAATTCCTGTATTAAATGCCTGGGAACAGTGAGCAGCCGGGGGAGAATGAGCCGGATTAGGTAGAAGTCCTGCAGCTGTGTGTCTAACGCGGCGTCCAAAACAGCATCTTGGAGGGGGTTGCCTTCCCGCAGGACCGGCTCTTCATTTAGAGCAGCGGTTCTCAACCTGTGGGTCGAGACCCCTTTGGGGGTCGAACGACCCTTTCACAGGGGTCGTCGAAGACCATCGGAAAACACATAGATAATTACATATTGTTTTTGTGATTAATCACTATGCTTTAATTATGTTCAACTTGTAACAATGAAAATACATCCTGCATATCAGATATTTACATGACGATTCATAACAGTAGCAACATTACAGTCATGAAGTAGCAACGAAAATAATTTTATGGTTGGGGGTCACCACAACATGAGGAACTGCATTAAAGGGTCGTGGCATGAGGAAGGTTGAGAACCACTGCTTTAGAAGGTCACTGGTATGAGGGCACATCGGGCGTGCTGTGAAGAGAGGAGGAAAGAGAGACGGGGAAGCAGACACCATCCCGTTGACTTGGGGATTGAATGTGATGATACCAGTCCAGTGCCTGGTCCGTGGTCGATGCGCAGTCACGGCGACTGACAGTGGTCAGTGCGATCAGATGGGAACGCCCCCGGGCTCAGCCTGCACAGCCTCCCCAGCGGGTGCC